TAGAGAACGCCCTAGCAAAGCAGTGAGTAAAGTACTTCAGGACAGAAGTGTCTGCCACCATCTGTAAGACAGGCAGATATCATCCTGATCCTGGCTGTGTTAACATATATCTAAGTATTCGGCTTTTCTTCCCCCACTTAAAACTATCAATGCTATATTTAAACTTTTATCTGATTACCTGGTTTGAAAAATAAACTTATGAAACAGAAACTGTGGCTGGTGAAAGGTCATGTAAGTGTCCCACTGTATGAATACTGTAAAGCTCTGCAGGTTCCACTGCTTCAAAGCAGTGGATTACATAAATATATTAATAGATGTAAACATAGGTATCTGTGTAGATGTGGTGGTTTAACCCCAGTCAGTAACTGAGCACTACACAGCTACTTGCTCACCCTCCCCCCTCACAGTGGGATGGGGGGAGAGAATTGGAAGGGCAAAAGTAAAAAAACTCATGGGTTGAGACAAGAACAATTTAATTATTCAAACTATAATAGTAATATTGATAAAAATAATAATAGAGGGAGAAAAAAAAAACCAACATAAAACCCCTGAATCAACAACAAAAAACCAGAGAGAGAAACACAACCCAGGAAAAGCAAGCAATGCAACCGCTCACCACCCACCAACTGATGCCCAGCCAGTCCCCAAGCAGCAATTGCTGCCCCCCCAGCCAACTCTCCCTGGTTTATATACTGAACATAATGTCATATGGTATGGAATGTCCATTTGGCCAGTTTGGGCCAGATGTCCCTGCTGTGCTCCTTCCCAGCTTGCTGTGCACCTCTTCCCTGTCAGAGCAGGGGAAGCTGAAAAGTCCTTGTCTTAGTACAAGCACTGCTTAGCAACAACCAAAACATTAGTGTGCTATCACATTATTCTCATGCCAAATCCAAAACACAGCACTATACCAGATAGGAGGATTAAAATTAACTCCATCCCAGCCGAAACCAGGACACTGCAAATGTGTGTATATGTGCATGCATCTATATAAATATATATTTAAAAGCACACAAAACCCCCTTGAGAACTCTTCAACATGGAACTGTAAGCAATCCAGTTGCACAGAGCACAGTGTTACAAAGGGGATAAAGCTTTCAAAGTGGCTGGTTCCTCCTTGACTGCAACAGAGGACCTTCTCAACCACAAAGTAATTGCTTTGGAAGCAGTGAGTCCATAACCTGTAAAACATTAATTTCCAGTGAAATGCAATGTACATCTATAAAGAGACCATTCTGCACCCAAATTGCCCTGGTTACTCTGTGCTGATAATGATTTTCCCTGTATGTGATTTGTTGCAACACCATTTGCTTCCTCGAGTGCAATGAAGCCCTCACACCACCAGCCTCTGCTTTGGTGGTCATAACAGAATTTCTCTTGTTCAGATCCTTTCTTATTTTTCTTTGTTAAGTGAAAATACCTTCTTGTAGTATACAGAAAAGTTCAATCAGCATGCCAAAACAACTACATTCTCTTGAGTGGAAAACAGTCTATTCCTCAGCTCTGTTGTTAATTCTATCATCACATCAGCTGACCAGCCTTTCTTATTTATTCTTCTTACAACGTATCAATCACACTGAAAAAATCAAAAGTATTTAATTAAGTTATTGATCTGGACAGAACCCTTCCTTGGCTATCAATTTCTTCCTTACCTGAACCAGCTGTGGGAGGTATTCCAACAATTCATCATTTGACAGATTTTCTATTTGTTGGACTGCTGTTCTGCGAATATCTTGATCTGGAAAACTAGAGCAAAACAAATAGATATCATTAAGAGCTACTGAATCACTGCAACTCTTCTGAGTTCTCACTGATATAAGATGGTAGAAAAACAGGTTTTCTCTCAAAATGGAATAGGAAAAAAAAATCAATTCATTTGCTTTACTGTAACAAGAGTCAAGAAACACATAGCAGATAACTCAATCGGACTGAATGTTACAGTGCTGTACAGGAAAAAAAACCAAACAACCCTGATCTACAAATACCGTTATTAATTTGATCTATCATGTATTGTACTTTCCTGGAATATGAAGCAAATTATGCATCTTCTCTTGCTGCTCTTACTTACCTGAAATAGGAAATTTCTGTGCCATGGGAACTTTTAACAGTCACTTGAAGACTTCTTTTGTTCTGAGCAAGAACACAAAAGCTTGAAATTTCCCCCACAAAAAGGGTTCAATTCAGATAATTTATTCCAATGTCAGTTCTTCTGGTTTGTATAACAACACAATACAAAATATTTTTTAAACAGAAGTAACTTTGAAATGGAAAACACGTTTTCAGTTTTCCTAAGGGAAAATTTAGTAAAATATCAACACCAACCCCTACTTCTGATGGGAGGATGTTCAGGTATTCAGCAGAAGCTGAATTCTCAGCAAATTCTGGTTGAAACCAGAGTGGCTGTTGCCTAATATAGATTTTGTGATGGAGTGCTAACTGTAAAAATGATAAAAGAGAAAAACATGGTGTGGCAGCAATGATAAAACAGGAAGAGAAGGGTGGATAATACAGCTGGTCAAAACGACTTTCTTTAAAAAAGAGAAAGAATGAAATTTTGATGTAACCTGATCAAAACTGACGCTTAACAGAACATTTTTTTTCTTTTCAGAGGAAAAAAAGTATAGAGTGTTTGTTTTAATATTTGAAAGCTGAAAAATAATCTTTTGAGGACATTTAAAAAAAAAAAAGTAATTTCCACCTATTCACAGGTTGCATTTATGATATTAATCGTGATAGATGAAGAATTTCACGTACACAGAAGTTGCTTAGATTGGTTCACAGTTAGCTGTTCTGCTACCGTCCCGCTTCCACAAGGAAAGGAACTGATATGCCCTTCTGTGTATGCCTGCTATGTGGCGTCACCCTTAACTATCTGTCAGCACGTGAAGCTGGTCCACTGCCATCCCAAGATTCTTTTCTGTCTTCTCCTTAAGCAAACTGGAAACGTCCATACAGGCCTTCCAGTCACCAGAGCCACAAGAGTGGCCATCTCTGCCAAAAAGGTAAAAATGTCTTTAAGCATTAGATAATTAACATCAGTCAATTAGATATTGTTCAAAAGAGCTGCTGGGCTTTGATCCAGTTCTCTGAGGGCGAGTGCCTGCCCCACAAAAAGCCATGAATTCTTCCCCTTTGAACTGATATGGCTATTAGGGTCTTTTGAAAATGCCTGATTTGGCAAGCCTAGGCATATGTAAAAAATGATGAATAAAGGACACATTATCCTGCCAACTCACCCTGGGAAAAGTCCTTTAAAATCAGAATCGTCATGTATGGCAGAAGTTGTCATGGGGCCAACAGTATTACTGCTTTAGGAGCTCAGTAGAAAACCATACTGCTCTCTTCCCAGCATCCCATCCAGCACCTTTTGTCAACAATGCACCCACCAGAAAAATAAATCAGAAGTGAAACACAGGAGACAGTACCACATTTGCAGGAATGACTGCTCACTGCCATCAAGAGGGAGAGAAAAAATTGTGAAGGCAAGTGCTCAGAAGTATAATGGCACCTGCGGCTCTCAACCTGGGCTTTTAACTTCAATAGAAGAAGCTGAAGCACAACAAGATGTACACTTTGATCACCAAATTAACTATAGGCCATCAAGAAAAAATGTGGATGTATTCAAAAAGAAATGGCTAACAGTTGGACTCAGTGGAAAGGCTGGGCTTTCTGTGCTGCAACATGCAGCACTTTCAGCCCCCCTTTTAACAATGTGGCTCAGGTCTGATTTTATTGTTTTCTATGTCTGTTATGGTACATATTTGATGATGTTTTTAATACAGTTTACAACTGTTTGCATACTGCTGAAGGGGCCTTAATGGGGAGAGAGGGAATATGATATAAATAAATTATCATGATAGCCCCAAATTAGCTTATTTTGCAAGGAGTATTTATTCATTTCTTTATTGTAGGCAACCTATTAGGAATATGAAGTTGTTACTTTAATATTCACATGGCTTTTTAGAACAAAACATATTTGAAGGAGGACTGCATATTAAAATAAAAATATTCCCATTTATATCATTCTATCTTCTAATTATGGGATTGCTCCAACGCCCTGTGTGCCAAGCAGGTGCAGACAGTATGGAAATCAATCGTTCCCTTTCCCTTCTCGCCTAGTTCAACAGGTTACTGAACAGTGAAATATGCTCTTAACAGGCACCGAGTCAAGCAGAAAAATGCTATTGCTTAGTTACTGCTTGTCCTTACTAGCAGCCAACATCTGAATACATAATGCTCTGATGAGAGAAACTCCTATATTTTTTCCAGCTAAACAAAGAATGATAAAGTTATTTTAATTCCAATCTTTCAAGAAAATTCAACAGCTAACATTTGATCTGTTTTGAATTAATTTGCTGTAAGTCAAAACTGGGGCTATATCTAAGTTCACAGAAGTACCTACAGGAAATGTGATTAGAATAATTATAAGCTCAAGTGCATAGGCACTGTGGTAAAAAAATCTCCTGGTCAGTTTGTTGCAGGAAACGTGGCTCTTGTCACTCTTCTTGAATGAGATTTTGGTAATTTTCGGTCCTGGTTACTAAATTGTTTCCGTCAGCTTGTAAATCTCAAGATCAGTTTAAGGTTGAGTTGAATCTTTTTGGAAGAATGGGCAGTTAACAAGTTTCCTTAACTACCTGACAATTTTTTAAGCCCCAGATACAATATCAATTGCTCTCTTGAATTTCAGTGTTGTTCAGGGCCACAGGTACAACAGAAATATTTAATTTGATTTGGTTTACCCCTTACATTTGTATTTGAGCAAACATTTAACATCCTCAGAAACACCAGAACTAAGGAAATACTTATGAACTAAAATAGTATTGCGTGGTGCTTATGCAACTCGCACATCAGTTTATTTGCTAAAAGGCAATATGGGGGTAAGTTCTAGAAGAAGATCTGAGTAAAAACTCCTACCCTTCACATGCCTGCAAGCTATGCCATCTTGTAGTCTGGTAATTAATTAGGACTAGAGGGTTTTTTCCAGTGAATAATCTTGCAAACTTTTGAGTATTGCATCAAATCTGATTTCAGTAACCCATAAATTAGTCTTGATTAGAGGACACAATTAATTGATTTTTTTGGCTCTGAAACTCAATACAAGAGAAATCGTTTTAGACCTAAAAAAAGAATCTGTAGTTTTGATATTAGGGGACAGCTGATTTCCAAAGCTTGCTACAGTGAATATGTAACTGTTTACACAGACCGAAAACTCTGAAAGCAGAGAATTGAAACAAATGTATCACAATGAATTCAATATTCCAGTCTTTAAGGGTACTCTCGTAAGAAAGAGGAGCTCATCTGTATCAGAGCTTGTCCATATCAGATCAATTTTGCAAAGGATTTGAGCCATAGGTTATCAGGTTCCTGACACGTACCCTGTGATTATGGCTTCAGAGAGGCAGGAGATTGAGGCACTTTGCTAGCTGTTTTACAGTTGTCACCAAAATCTCTGAGAATTTAGCTAGGAAAAAAGCAACTTAAACCAAAACCCTTAAACAAAGCTTGTATGACTCTTTGTTTGCATTTCAAAATGGTACTTTTCATCCAGGTCTCCAATTACCTCTAGCTGCATTTTTTTTTCCTCAATAAGCAAACTACTGGGGTCAATAAGTAATTAAGTGTCTAGAACTATGGTGTTCCTCAGAAATTTGGCTGACTGCATTGTAACATAGTGCAGATTTCTTCTTTTGGTTTATTTTGTTTGTCTTGTCTTCAGGCAATGACTCCTCCACAGCGGAGTTTGTGACTTCTTATAAGTTTTTTCCAGGTTACACAGAGACCCTACTGAAAAATAAACAATAGGTAAATGATAGCTGTGAGCCTAGTGCTCAGCGATAGGTCACGCTATGCAGGACTTCTAGTTTCCATTTCACAGCTTGTCTCACAGCCTGGATTCTCCTCAAGTTATGAAACTGATTTCCCTTGACATTTAACCTCAACACCCCTTTTGCCGTGTTGCTCTTCCCCCTTTGCAGGATGCCAATGATGGACAGCCACCCATTTTATAACTTCTGTCTATGGAGCTGTAGATTTTTAAATGCCCCTTGAGACTTTAAGATGTTTTTTGTGAAAATTGAATTTTGAACTGGATGACCATAGATTACAATTTGCTTTAGAAGTAAGAACAACTTAAAGTCTTTGATTCTTTTCATATAGATAGCCAGTAGGGAACTATTTGTTTATCTATACCTTACAGCTAAATCAGATTCAAACAGAAAACTAAGTGCTGCTGAGGCATCCTGTGGATTTGCAAAATTCTCCTGAGATTTTAGTATCTACCAGTGGTGATTTGATTGCAAATGAGGTATAGATATACATTTCACTTTTAACAGTTTTATTATTCTAATTTCATTGCACTGTCTCAAAAAACCTATGCTGGAAGGCATTTGTCAGGTAAGTGGAACTGTACAGTTCACTGCATTTTCTAGCACATGAGGGTCTAGAGAACAGGCTGGCTCTTTCACAAGCCATCTTTTAAGTCAGAGGCTTATGACATGCCACATGCTTCTGCAATTCCCTCCACATTTTAAGTTCTGTTGCATTTTCAAAAAAGACAGACTCCAGTCCCATGAAATGCACGTTATTAAGTCTGGTAGAAACAAAGAAGGTTGAGCTAGCAAACCTACTGGAATGAAGATACCAACTGAATACAAAAATCTCTCTGAGTAGCAAAGGATGTTGTGTCACTGATGAGTGCAACTGGGCCAGCAGAGAAACTGTAAAGAACTGTATAAAAGAATAGA